TTAACTCCAAACAGTCCATTAATTAGTTTCTTAAATTTCTGTAAAATGCACAGAAATTTCGAAACGATTTGCACAAAAAAAATCCACATGGTAGGATTATATATACCCTTTTGTAAATTCGTCGTATATTATCCAATTCTTTTCTTTTGTATTTTTTTATTTTTTTTATCTTGTTTCTTTTGTATTTATTTAAATGCATTAGTATAGGAAGGATTATATATTACCCTTTTGGCATGCCTTTTTCCTGCCCTGTGATTTGGAAGCATTATTGGTTGGAATAATCATATAAAGTAGTTTATTAAGTCAATATTTACTATACTATCTTTCTCCTTTTCCTTACACCCTGAAACCTCACATCAGAACAAGGGTCCCTAAGAAATTGTCCAGGTAAACGAAGCGATGGCAGTGGCACTCTCTCGTACTGAAAAAGCTCAGAAGCTGTGGCATGCCTGGAGTATTAGGGGATTAATGACTGTAAGCCTCTCTCTGCAGGTCATCTTAAATCTCTTGGCACCAAAAAGAAAAGTTCAAAGTGATCGGGGGAAATGGATCATTGGGTTGATTTGGTTCGTTTTTCTAGCAGACTGGGTTGCTACATCTACCATGGGACTCATCTTACACAGCAATAGTCCCAAATCAGGCGGCCCTCCTATTGACATCATTGCCTTTTGGACACCCTTTCTCTTGGTGCACCTTGGTGGCCCCGATACTATTACCTCTTATTCTCTACAGGATAATGAGTTGTGGCAAAGGCATTTTCTTGCGCTCCTGTCGCAGGTTTTTTCTACTTTCTACGCCTTCTTTAAGTCCTCACCAAATAACGAGGTTTGGCTCGCAACCATCCTAGTGTTACTTGCAGGCATAATCAAATACTTTGGGCGGACCCTTGCTCTTAACCGTGCAAGCTTTGACAAATTAGGAAAAAATTGGGTGCCGGTCGGCGGGGGAACTCAACTAGTCATTCCAAAACAGTTCCATGGCATGGAGAACCACACATCAATATCAGGAACTACAGTTCTACTCTTTAGCAATTTAAAGAGGATACTTGTTGGCCCTCTTCCAAAGGAAAACGAACTAAAGCGAATCATAGAAAGGATCATGCTGCGGAGGAGTGATGGAGAAGTGCTTCGGATTTTTGAGATTGAGCTAAGCCTCTTGTATGAGGTTCTTCACACCAAGTTGCCCCTGATAGATAGCAAGATTGGATCCTATCTCCGTATGGCAAATTTTGGATGCATATTGGTTGCCTTGATTTCGTTCTCATTGGTCAATAAGCATTACAAGTTGGAGTTGTCTGACATCTTGATAACCTATGGTTTGCTGATCGGGGCATTAGCAATGGATGTCTTATCTTTCATATTAATTAAAAGCTCAGATTGGTTCGCAATTTCTCACATCCAAGATGGATCTCAACTTATCAACAAGCGCGAGTTGCCTGATGCAGTTATCAAAAGGCGCAGGTGGTCGAAAACCGTTTCACAGTTCAATTTTTTAACACATCATGTGAAAAAACTGGGTGATATTCCTTCCGTAGGGACTTTGTTGTCCAAAGTCATTAATAATTTTCGTTGTCAGTCCTTCCAACATTTCGAGGACTCACTCTGGACTTTCATTTTGAGGGAAATAAAGATGAAATTTGACTGCAGGTACTGCTACAAAAACAAAGAGGAGAAAGAAGTTTGGTTGTCAGAAGAAGAAATTGAAAAACTTCTTGAGCGAGTCATGAATCAGAAGCAGCAGGAGTTGATCAAGAATTTAACTGGAAAGTTGGATTACACACAAACCCTCCTGGTGTGGCACATAGCCACTGAATTATGCTTCCGAAACAACGACCACGGCATGCATGGGACAACTGATACTTACAGATCAATATTGTTAGAAACGGAAAAGAAGGAGAAATATCTGAAAAAAGGTTTATTGCTTTCTTGAAATTCTAAATATAATTATGTTCATATCTTAACAAATATGCAAACTACTTTCAGATTATATGTTTTACCTTGCAGAGATGCAGCCCACCATGATGGCCGGTGTATTGGACAATTGGAAAGATGAGTTTAAAAGAACATCTAAAGAGACCAGGTCAATGGTACCCTTGAAGTTTTTCTCAAATGAGAGGAGTTTTGCTGAAAAGATCTTGTTCGCGTCCCAGGAAGTAAAAGTAAAAATAGAAGAAGAAGATGATGATGAAGAAATGAAGTTATTATCTGAAGCAGTTGAGGTTGCCCGTGGGCTCGAACGGGAGGATGGTTATCCATGGGAGGGAATTAATGGGCAAAGTTTGGGTACAATTGATGTGCTATGCTGCTATTAAATGCAGGCCGAATGTCCATGCAGATCAACTAAGCAAGGGTGGAGAACTTCTCACGTTCGTTTGGTTGTTGATGAGTCATTTTGGTTTTGGAACTAAATACAGAAAGTTGAGAGAATAGTTCAAAAAAGAACCTGAAAGAAGACAGGGGGAAGAATAAGGATCATTTATGTATGTTTTCGACTTATATCTGGAATTGGGTTCTCTATTGTCTTAAATTGTTTATTGTATTATGTTAAAGTAATTTTGTACTAAATTTCTGTATTTAAAATTGGTTGTTTTAGGTTTAATTTAATTTGAATTTTTTTAATTTATTTTAAATTGTATAATGAGAGATAACATTCTCTTATCCCATACAATTTAATTTAATTGCAGACCCTACATTGATTGTTTTAATTTTAATTTAGTTTGAATTAATTGAATTTATTCTATATATTTTGTTATCCATTGGCACACTGGGATGGTTTGATCTTTTTTTAAGGCAGCAACTGTACCCACTTAACTGGCCGAAAGTTTTTTTTATTTTTTTTATAATAATGAGAGATATAATTTTTTTTATTTTTCAATTCACTTAACTTATATACCTCGCAATTCAAATTCATAATTTTTTGTTTTTAATAAAAAATTATTATTAAATTACTTAAATAATTAATAATCAGTTGAATGGAGTTGGTTGGTAACTAAGAAAGTTTGATTATTCTAAAGCATATTCTCATTGTTTTCTTTAAGACACTACAGCATTTTTGCCATTTAGCTACGCTTTTTTTACCTACGCTCACTATTTCATAGGTATAGAGTTTTATTAGCTATGCTTTATAATTTGTGGATATATGGATAAGTTATAGTTACATTCACAAAAAAATCATAGGAAAAATTACACTGTAACTACGCAATTTCAATTGACTCGAAGGACTAAATGCATTATAATATTTTTATTGAACATAAAGAATTTAGAAAAATATAATTTTATAAAAGATAAAATTAAAATCTTAAATTTAATACGTTGCACCTTATCTAACACAATTAAAGCTGTGGATACATATATGATTATAATATCTGAAGCCAATGTACATCGCTGATGTAGTTAGATTTAAGTTCTGAAAGAAGTTCAGTTATTTTTAAATAAAATTTTAAATTTAAATTTTACAAATGAAGAAATAAATGTTGGAAAATTTTTTTTTTAAATGAGATTCGATACGATTCAATTTTAAATTAATTAAAATTTAATGTGATTACTAGATATTGAGAGGTTAATACCAAAAAAAATTATAAATTAATCTTTTCTTTGCCTTTCAAGCAAAATGATTGCCTTAATATCCATGACGTCTATATATTTGTTGTTTTCTATTTTTTTTTTTAACGATAAACAATTATTACGTCAGGCATTAGTACATGTTTATATACATGGGGAAGGGGAGTATGAACCCTTGATTCGAACTTCATGTCACGGGGTGATTTCCATTAACCCAGGTGATCCTCCACACGAGACAGAACGTGGAAATCGTGATTTCTATATTAATGCTAATAAATTGTAAATAAAAAATATTTTAAGAACCATGTAAAAATTTATTTTAAAAAATGTAAAAAACAAGGATCTAACAATGACAGAACATAAAGAAAA